GATGTGAAAGAAAATGCATTAAAACAAGGGATGGTAAACAAGGAATAATGCTCATGATATTTAATATGAAATCAAATAAAAAAGAAAATTAACATTACCCTTGGAGTACATGTGTATATATTTTCTAACAACTCAAGCTAGTAAACACACCAAAATCCATATTATCCACGTATAGCTCAGCTTTAAGATGCTAAACAAATCTATGAGTTTAGCATATCTCTGAGAAATAGTCATGCTATCCTTGCAAATACTAATACAATATTTACTGACACTGGAAAGGAGAGTAAAATACATTCACTAAGGTTTAAACAGTTTCTCTGAGAAATGTTTAGAATCCCTGCTATACAACTGTGGTTTCCAACATGGTAGCCACATGTGGCTATTTGGCTGGTTGAGTGTGGCTAGTTCACTATAGTGGTTAGTGCTTCAGAAGTGGTCGGACACCATTGCTACATAAGAACAAGTGAAACACAGACCTGTAAAAACAGATAAAAGTTCTGGTTTGAAACTTTCACTGTGTGTGTCACCAAAGAGAAGCCCCAGAACAAATCAACACATGGCTTCAGGGATTGTAGATAGATACATGTTTCAAAGACCTTGTAAACAAGGTGTCATCCTACAAAACAACTAACATCACACCTAGTACTTGCTACTTCTGACTCTCAAAATCCAGAACTCGACCACATAGCAAAGATCTGGCCTTTAATGCAACAGTATGCCATGTATTACTAATTAATACGGGATTTTAAAAAATCATTAAGATCAGAGTTTTAGATACAGCCACTCCCTGAGTTACGACCACCTCCACTTATGACCATCCATACTTACGACCAAAGCGGTCATGAATGCGGATCTAAATGTTGGTTCGTAACTTGTTTGTAACTCAGGGAGCGGCTGTATATGCAACACTCCAAAAATTCTGTTAAAAAAATCTTTTTCTTTCTTACCTTAAACCATTAACCCCTATGTAAACTTTTTTTGAAATGTAATCATGCAAATGTCCTGGTACACACACACACGCCCTCCCCCCATGTAGCCTTCTTTCCCCTCCACCTTTTCATCCAGCCCAGCCAGACGGAGAGGACTGCAATCTGGACTGCAGCGAGTCAAGACATGCCAAACATCTCATTGCACAGAGAGGCCAGCACCTGCCCACCTTTCCCCCACCAAACCCTATGCATTCTGCTCCCCCACCCCAGCTGAGAGCTGGAATAAAATCCTCCTTCTCAAATTTGCAGGCACCAGCAGTCTAGCTGGAAGTCGGAACACAACAGGCTCTCCACCTT